ATTATGTTTAATACTTGTTGAAACTTGAGAAAAGTTTACCAGATAAAGTTAAACCGAGATTATGTTTAACATTTGTTGAAACTTAACAAGTTTACAAGTCGAAGTTAGACTAAGGTTAAACACTTGTTGAAATTTTATGAAGAAATTTACAAGTTGAAACCAAGGTCATGCCAAGAAAGGTACTTGGGTACTTGCCGAGGTAAATCATCAGTTTGTATAACCGAGGCGTGTCACACTGAGAAGGTTACACAAGATTGAAGTGTACATTAAAGATGTGTAAAATATTCTAAGTATGGAATCATACAAGAGTAGTAAAGAGAAGGCAAACATACAAACGTTCAAAACAAAGAAGTTGTATTTATAAGAAGGCACTTCGGCTATATGAAGAGCTTACACTGTTTCAAAAGAAAGACAAAAATACAGACCACAGAAGAAAGAGAAAAACATAAAATTAAGATTCTTCAGCATCATTAGCAGGTTGGGTTTGGACTTCGAAGGACTGCTGAGAAGACATCTCGACAGCCTTCTCAGCCGTAAGCTTGGCGTCAATTTCTTGAAGGGTCAGATCGAGGCTCTTGTCGGCAAGGGGCACGTCCGATGACGCATTCTCAGGAGTGGCATCCTTGGGGACTTCCTCGCCCTCCTCGTCTTGAGTTAAATACAAGACTTGCTCAATTAGAGAAGGGGACTTAGTCCTAGCAGCCTCCTTTGATTTCCTCACCAAGGTTTCCTCTTCGGACTCAGATTCGTCATCGGATTGAGTTAGAATTAGAGGGAATGGAAGAGGAATGACGTCGGCGTTCCTGAGGGGTGAGTCCTCGGGGACTTCAAGATTTTTTAGAAGAGACATCCAACCCAGGGTAAAACCCTTGTTGCATGCCTGCTTCACTTGCTTTTCATAGTTAGCCGTGACATCGGCCACCCCCTCATTGTAGCCCTTTTCATTGGCTGCCTTGAGCTCAGCGTCTTTGGTGGCCAAGGCATCCTGAAGTTCTTTTTGGGCTTGGGTCATCTTTTCCTCAGACTCTTTCCTCTGGGCCTCAAGAACCTTGTTAATGGCCTCAGCAGCACCTGTTTTTTCATCGGCATTGTCCTTAGCCTTGATGGCAGCCTTGGCCTGGTGTTCCAACTTCTTTATTTTTGATTGTAAGCTTTTGTTGGCCTTTTGCAGACTGGCAACTTCTCTTTTCTTATCGGCCAGTTCTTTCCGGTTCTCAAAGGATTGTATTGAGAAAGAATGAGCATGCTGGATGCCCTGAAAGAGAATAAGACAAAAGTTATTAGAAAATTTTCTAAGTACAAAAAAGAAAGAAAAATGACCAAATAAAGACACTCACTTGGACAGAGCGCTGAAACATCAGAGCATAGTTCTCATACTCACTCAACTCGGCGTTTCGGTCGAGATCGCCGGGAAGAAGCAGAGCAGTACTAAGGGCCACGCCGACATTAATGTCATCAGCGCTGTCGTTAGCCCTAACTGGCTTATCCTCCAGTGTGATTTGAGAAGCCTAGAGGGAATCCTACTTTCGAGACCCCGATGTGGTTGCAGCGGATGACCTCGGCTTCTTTGATTTTGGAGATTCAGATGGTTGGGCCTCGACTGGCCTCTTCTCGGCAGTAGATGTAGTTCTCTCGCTCGAATCTAATTTTGAGATTGGCAAAGTATCTTCAGTGTCAATTTGAGTCACCTTTGCCTTTGGCTGAACCTTCTTGATCATTTTTGTCTTCGGCTTTGGCTGGGTTGGCACTAATTGGGCATCAACTGAATCAAGAATATCGGCCAAAAGATCCTTAGCAACTGCTTTTTAGCAGCCCATTTTAGTAGCAAAAACTGTTCGGCGTCATTAACGGCGCTGGGATATTGGGATCGGATATGGAGTCGAAGTTGATGGATGATCTGCTGGGTCAGAAGTTGATCTTTGATCTGGCCGAGATGTAGAGGCAGCTTGAGGAGTTGTATCGGAAGTCAGAGAAAGGGTTTTCTTTTTCTTCTTCTTGGGGACGTCGGGAAGAGCTACTTCTAGGTAGGAACGAAATTGAGTAGAAGATGGGCCTTCCGTGTGAGGACTGGAAAATCCAACAGTTTCCTCAAGCCTTTGCTGGGAAAGAAAAACTGACGGAAGCCCTTTGGTGGCTGAGCAAGAGCTGCAAGAAAAGCAGACATTAGAAACAAATAAAGTATTGAAGACTTTAAAACAAACAAGCTAATATGGGCTCTTACCATTACCCTCTACAAAAACTGTTCGAGGAAGAGGGTAAAGATGGAGGTCCTCATCTGGAGCGAACTCCCAGTTCCCCGAGGTAATAAAGTAGTCATCTCTAGCTCCCTTGTTGGAGTCTGGGAGGTCGGTTACGATTTTGTACGCTATAGATCTCGGCTTGAGGTAGTAAACGTAGCCTGTGTCTTTTTTGAGGCCACACATAGTGTAGCAATACTCGATATTGGCTAAGGTAACCCTAACGTTTTCTTGTTTGGCTAAGGCTATGATGCCATTAATGACTCGGTAGGAGTTGATGGCAAGCTGCATTGGGTTCAACTTATAATAATGGATGATCTCACAAAAAAAGATATTGAGTGGGAGCCGAAGTCCGCACTCGATGAAAGCTATAACATGAAGGGGCATGGAATCAGCTGTGGGCATGATGGAGTCATCCTCCCCAGGCAACCTCAGATGAACGTCGGCCGGGATGTCAAACTCCTGCCTAAAGTGCTCTAATTTTCTCGGGGTATCTACCCTATGCTTCCACATACCCATAACGACGGCCTGAATTAGAAGAGCTGGACTTCAGAAAAAAATGAGCTTCAAAAAAGGAATATTAGGACCTCGACAAAAACCTTAGTATATGCTGGGTAAGAATTTGTGGAAATAGTTTCAGTTTTTCCTAAAAAATCGTGGGTGCTACAAACAAATCCCAAAACCTAGATTTATGGAAACAAAGATCAAAGGCGTGAATCTGGAAAAGTCACAAGAAAACAGAAATAGGTAATGCGATTCAGAGTCAAGAACATTGAAGGATCATCAAGAAACACAAGACAGGTGTAACAGGCTAATAATAGTGGCAACAGTCAACAAATGTGTGAATAGTGCAAATTCCAGACATAAAATGGGCAGAAACAAAAGCGTAAGATAAACGTGCTCAAATACATGATTCGTAAATCAAATACTTGAGCAAAAACAGCAGCAGCAACAGATAGGGTATCTACCCTATGCTTCCACATACCCATAACGACGGCCTGAATTAGAAGAGCTGGACTTCAGAAAAAAATGAGCTTCAAAAAAGGAATATTAGGACCTCGACAAAAACCTTAGTATATGCTGGGTAAGAATTTGTGGAAATAGTTTCAGTTTTTTTCTAAAAAATCGTGGGTGCTACAAACAAATCCCAAAACCTAGATTTATGGAAACAAAGATCAAAGGCGTGAATCTGGAAAAGTCACAAGAAAACAGAAATAGGTAATGCGATTCAGAGTCAAGAACATTGAAGGATCATCAAGAAACACAAGACAGGTGTAACAGGCCAATAATAGTGGCAACAGTCAACAAATGTGTGAATAGTGCGAATTCGAGACATAAAATGGGCAGAAACAAAAGCGTAAGATAAACGTGCTCAAATACATGATTCGTAAATCAAATACTTGAGCAAAAACAGCAGCAGCAACAGATAAATGAAACGAAACTTCTTGAAAAGCAACAAGAAACTGAAACCAAGAGGAACGGTGACTTACCAGAAAAAAGGCAGCCGATGTTGAGTTCGCCGAAGTCAGACGAACGGTAGCAGCAGGGAAGAGTAGCAAGAGTCTCACCGGAGGAGGTGAACAACAGTGGTAACAGAGCTTGAAAGCTTAGAACAATAGAAGATTTGAAAAGGCTAGAGAGAGAGAGAGAGAGCTTCTGAAACGATGTAAAGTGGAAAGACGGGGGAAAAAAACAAGTTTTGTCAAAACTTGAAACGGCGGCAAAAAGGGCAATTAATGCGCCTGGAACAACGAATGCGTCAGACGACGCATGTACGCGCAAGATGACTTGCAGACGCGTCCGGAGTACGATCCAGTAAGGGGAAGACGCGTGGTTAAAACGGTTGAGTTATTGTGTATGACAACTCATATGCTTAAGAAGAGCTCTTGGGATCCTTGTTCTTTAAAGAGACATGTCGGCCTTAATAGTGATCTCGGCTAAAATACTTTAAACTGACGTATTGGTAGGAAGTACCGATATAGGTTCCATCACCTCAGAATGTCGAGGTAATAGAATCTAGGGGGCAGTTGTGATGATATATTTTCTGAATACCAACACGTGGCCAAGGTGACGCCGACGTGTTGGCCGAGGTGCCACGTGTCCTGGTCATGACGCCGATGTTATCTCGGTTAGGCCGAGATTATCTCCGAAGATATCGGAATCCGAGATAAGTGGATAAGGCACAAGAGTCCTAGAATGAGGAAGGACTTTAGCATGGATATTTATCTCTTGGAGAGTCCAAGATAAGCACTGAGCAGAAGTCCATTGAAGCTAGGTTTCTATGGGGATTAGGATTGAGTTAATTATAAAAGAAAGGCACCCCCATGGTTTAAGGTACGCAACTTATATTCTGAACAGTGAGTTAAGAACTATTGATTACCTTTGAGAGATATACTGACTTGATCGTCGGAGTGTCCTCAGGTGGACGAACCACCGTCGGAATCTTCTCTTTCTGTTGCAGGTCAGGCAGGTGCTATCTATTCTGCCAGTGCTCTCCAGCAGAATACTAAGTTGGCAGTGTGATCGGAAATTTACTCACACAAATAAAATGTTATATTTAAATTATAATCATTTTATTTTTATTGTCACAAAATTATAAAAAATCAAAACTTATTTTTAAATAATTTTTTTTAATCAAACTAAAATAAAATTAAAAGAATCTAAAAAATTAGGCTAAAATAATTATTTTCAAACGAAGAATGTCGTACGCCCGATTGAGTTGACCATGGTGGCGTGTTTTTTGTCCAAAGCTCGACGAAAAACAACGCGACTTTTACCAATTGCAAATTGCAATGGCGGTTGACCACCCAAAACTTAACTCAGCTCCTTCAAAACTAACCTCTCTCTAGAGAGAGAAAACACACCCACCCCTACATGTATATATACTTTTAGAGAGAGAGAGAGAGTCTCTGTTTGTTGCATCAGATCTGGAGATCTAGTCAGTCTCTGTGTGTTTCAATTCCATCGGAATCATCACTCGGTTGATGGAAAATGGAGTACATAGACAACTTGCCAGCCATGGATCTGATGCGCTCCGAGAAGATGACTTTCGTTCAGCTCATCGTTCCCGCCGAGTCCTCTCACCGTGCCGTCTCTTACCTCGGCGAACTCGGCCTCCTTCAATTCCGAGACGTACGCTTCCACTCTACTCAGATCCTCCTTTTTTTTTCTTCTTTTTTTTTTTTTTTTCTTTTCTTTTTCCCCATTGCATACTCTTCTTCAATTGATGTGCTAATTGGCTTTCATGAATTCCAAATTTCGAAGTTTTTTTTTAATGCTTTTTAACCTTCTGATTCTCTCTAGGCACGCAAATCGCAGACTAGTGTGGTATAGCTAGGGTTATTGTAATTGGAGATGTTATTGGACGCAATCTCAGTGGAAATTTGATGAGTGGAACAAAAATTTCACACGGTCATACATTGAGACATTTGTGTAGTTTTGGATTTATAGGTTGTTTTGTCTTGAAAAAGTGTAATGGATGGTATAGTGGAGGGTGAATAGGACCAAATTATGCAAATTATTAATCAATTTTATCTGCCAGAAATTTAAAGCAATCAAATCATGACCACAAGAACAAGGATTTTTTGTGTAACCATCAAAGAGAGGAAAATCATGGTCACTTGGCTCTCAAATCAATCAATTATGTCAAGAGATTAAAACATGACTCAAATAAAGTGACTTAAAACACTTACCATTGACACCCGTTTGTTCTTGACTCACCAGTGGCGCTGACCCCTGTTGGCTTGAACTCCATGGATTTCTCTGATCCCTGCAATTCAAATCTGTCACCATCATCCTTCTCTTGAATGCAAATTGACTCCATCACAGATTGTTCCACAGAACACTCTGATTTCCACCTAACACTGCTATCACAATTGACCAATGACAAACATGGTGCAATTAGGTTATTTATACTATGTGGCTTTGAATTTGCACAACTACATCACCTTTATTTTATTACAAGGAGGACAATGTGATGTGTCTAGGTATGTATTTTGAGTAGAGCTTCTCTCTAGAATGCTAAAGGATTTTTGGTCCCGTTTGTTTTCAAAGGTAGAATTGAAGGGATTCATAGTGAGGGGATTGTTAGTGAGAGAATTAAGTAAAATTGTGTTTGTTTTGATAATAGTTGTTAGCGTAGGAATTGTTAAATTATTTTTATATAAAATAATAAAACAAATAAAAAAATACATAAAATTAAACATTAATATTCAAAAAAAAAAAAATGTTCAACATGTAAAAAATAAAAAAAATAAAAAATTTCTAGTCCGGTGGACTATTTTTCTAATACCATCTCCACCTCCTCCATCTCAATCTCCTTTCCAACGTCCATCCTAATCCCCTCCTCTATCTCAATCCCTTCCCCAACTCTACAAACAAACATAACACTAAATGAGTCCCACCTCCATCCTAATCCCGTCCCACCCTCTACACCCCAAAACAAGCGGGGCCATGTGTAGTATTTTACAGGGCACACTAGGAGCATAGAGAGAATAAAAAAGAAAGTTTACAAGCAGAGCTATTAAGGATGGAGAGGAGAGTGACTTGAAGAGCTTTCTACTAGCTTGGTCCTTGAGAGCTTCTACCACACTTCTCCTTATAGGCAAATGCTCAAAAATACCTTCAAACAAGCATGTCAATTAGTCTTAAAGTCTGCATCAAAAGCCTTCAAATTAGGGATGACGAATGATGACCAACTCTAGGTCACTTGAGCAACTCATTTTGGTGTGAAATTTGTTGTATGCTCGATGGGTTAGTTGAGTGAGTCTTTCAAGCAATTGCCACCATCAAACATTTTGGCCTGATTTTTTCTTCTCAAATTCAATCAAAAGATCGATCCCTCAATATCTTTTGTCCATTTTTAATTTTGTGCTAGGTCTAGTAGGTAGCTTGAGCAAGGTTGTTTCTACCCCCTATCGCCACTACTGATCCATCACCACAATCCATCTCAGTCACCACAGTTTCGACTGCCACCCCAATTCATTCCATAAATCCATTTCGGAAATCAAGATCCACAATATAGCAATAACAAAAATCTCATCCCAAATTTACAATATGAAGCTTGAAATCTTGTTCCGTCGTACAAGGTACAAGGGATTGTGTGTTATTAGATTGGCTGGGCCAAAGTGGGTAGGAGGAAAGGGAGCATGGGGTGGGTGGTGTGGTGGATGTTAGGTGTGGGGATGGATTTAGGAAAAGAAAGGGGAAGAGGGAGGAGGAGAAAAGGGGCTGGGGGCTAAGAGGGAAGGGGTGAGGATGGTGGGGGAAATGGTGGGGATGGCAGTAGTTGGGGAAAGTGGTGAGGTGGGTGATGGTGTCTTGCGGGAAGTGGTGAGGGGGTGGTGTGGGAAGTAATGAGGGGTGTGGTGGTTGTAATGGTGGTTTGTTTGTTCAAGGTCTAAACAAAGGGGAAAAATTTGTCATTATCTTCTCCTATTTGGTTTTGCACTGTATAAAGAGCCCACGTGAGCTTCACCTTCACATGAGCATCCTTTGTCAACTTAGCAAAACATAAGTTAATAGGACCACATTGCTAGTTGCCTGTAAGTGGGAGGGTGATTGTTACAATTGAAAAATGTGGGATCAAAGTGGAATTTTGTGTAATTTGTAGGGATTCTAATTGTAATTCAGCTATTATTTGCTGATGCTAGGTTTCTATTAATTTGATTTGAATCTTCTCAAAGAAAGAAAGAAGAGGGAATTTTACTCATTATCTTCCTCTATTGGGTTTTGCACTGTATAGAGAGCCCATGTGAGCATATTTGGTCAATTTAGCAAACAGAAGTTAATAGAAGGACCACATTGATAGTTGCTTGTAAGTGGGAGGGGTTGATTTTTACAATTGAAAAATGAGGGACCAAAGTGGGATTTGGGATAAAGTGTAGGGATGCAAAGTGTAGTTTACCCATTATTTACTGATGTTACATTTATATTATTTTGGTTTGGATCTTCTCAACAGAACTGATGGTGTAAGCAGTTAGGATTATGTAATCTTTATTAGATTGTGAATTTGGAATTGTGTTCAATCTCGTTTTTCTTTTGGGCAGAAACTCTGCCATAATTTTCATATTGTGAAAAATGTAGTTTTAGTGCTCGGTTTTCTTTTACGAAATTGTTAGCTTATTGTCTAACCAAATGAAAAATAAAGGACTTTTTTTCTTATTTTTTAGTTATTAATTGATCAATGCACTCACTTTTATGAATTGTTCTTGGCAGTTGAATGCTGATAAAAGCCCTTTCCAGCGAACATTTGTTAATCAGGTATTGTTATAAGAACTGCTATTTGCTTTTGTATAGGATGTTTAATTGGAACTTTCATTACTTTTTTGCTTGTAATGAATGGTTTGCACGTTTTATATTTAGTACAGGTACTACAACTAAAACCCAACGTCGATGGAAACCTATGTTTTCTCTAGCTTTATGTTGTGTGTGGTAAATATAGTTGTTAGTATAATTAGCTCATGGCATAAATTCCTGCCCATGTAATCATATTTGCAGTTTCATGCTTCCTCAACTAGTCGAACAGAGAAGTCTGTTGGTATCTACATGATCATCTTTCTATTAATTATTGACAAATAAAATTACACTAAACCATTTTAGCTAAGTGTACAAGCTATGTTGTTATGTGAGATACTTTATGTAACTAGAGTTATATATACGTGTACAAATTTATACAGTCTTTGTTTCTTCCAGTCAAGTGGAAATGGAAGTCTTCTGCTTCACTTGCCTTTATATTGGTCTTTAACAAGAGGGCGGGTACGAATTGTGCCCGTGCTTCGTATCTTAGATTAGATCTTGTTTTTTATTCCATTTACCTCTCTCTACAAAGAGAATTTGTGAGTAGTGGGAGTTTAGGATGGTGGAGCACAATTTGAATTTTGTGAAATTACCAGTTTGCCTTTATTTTAGAGAAAGTGTCATGGATTTGTTTTGGAAGAATACAGGGAGCACTAAAACAATAGTCAGGCTTAATATAATTGAGTGATGAACAAGAAAGATTAATTATGCGCCACTTTAATGCCCAACTTTTTAACATCATGAGGAATGCCTTTCATGTTCTTAACAAATACAAGCAAATGAGGGACAAAGCTATTACCCTTTATCACCATTTGTTGAGAGAGAAAAATAACAACAACAATAGAAGAGCTCAGTAAGTTGGCGTTTCTTTATGTGGAATATGTATACCAACCAATTGAAATTTGGGTGCTGGATGGATGTTGTGAAATGCCCTTCTAGATAAGGTATGAACTTAGGCCTCGTTTGGGAACAGGCTAATTTAGTAACTTTTTGGCTATTTGGCTAAAAAGGTAGGTAAAAAAAACTTGTATGTTTGGGATGACTTTTTGGCTAATTACGAAAAGATGTGCAAACAGTAGAGAGAAAAGAGGATCTTTGACTTTTTGGTATGGGTTGTTGGCTTTTTGGCTAATTTAGTAACTTTTTGGCTAATTAGCTAAAATAGCCTTTTGCCAAACGAGGCCTTAGTGCTAAACAAAATTACTTAAATATTTTATATAGGTAGAATGATATCTACTACAGTTTCCTTTTATCATTTTTATTTTCATATTTCTAGATTACCTTGAGGTATGAAACTTCAATATATTTTTTATAGGTGGAATGATATCTACTACAGTCTCCTTTTTATCGTTTTTATTTTCATGTTTTTGGGAGTCATTTCACAGGTAAAAAGATGTGCAGAAATGTCAAGAAAGCTACGGTTTTTCAAAGATCAAATACAAAAAGCTGGTCTAATGTCTTCTGCTCATCCTGCTATGCTAGAAGACGTGGAATTGGAGGAATTAGAGGTCCATTTCTAGTTATTAATCCTCATCTACTGACAAGGGAACCTTTTTTTTTTCTCCTCATAATTTTTATGTTATTTTCCTTTCTTTCTGTCTGGATTTTTTTACCCCCTCTTCTAGTGCCAGCAATAACCATATGCTGTAAGAAATGGTCAAAAAGTGAAGAATCATTTCCTCTTTCTTGCAAAGGCAACTTTTCTTAGAGAATTAATTTCTATTAAGTTATGATCTAAGGTGCTTTATTATTGTCTCTCTCTTAATTCCAGATACAACTTGCTGAGCATGAACATGAGTTGATGGAAATGAACCATAACAGTGAGAAACTACGACAAACGTACAATGAGCTGCTAGAGTTCAAGATGGTACTGCAGAAGGTATTCTTTCTTGCAATTTTCTTGAGTGCAGTAGGCACCGATAACATCTATATCTTGCTTCTCGATATAAATGCCCTTTTACAGTTATAAAAGTAATGATTGTGGGAAAACCTACCATTACTCAAGTGATATATTTAGTTCTCAAATTCATGTATTTAAGCTGCTGTTTTGCTATTTAAAGATGTAAATCAAGCTGCTTCTTTGTGTGATCAAAGCTTTCCTGATCATTTGTTGGTTTCTTTTATTTTGTTATCTCAAATATAAAAATACTTGTTTATTAAGTCTTTACAGTGATTGTATCTTCAAGAAATTTTCTTTACTTTATATCTGCAGTTCTAGCCTCATTGCTTCTATATTTGACTCACTGTAAACATTGGCTCATGAGCCCCAAATTGTCAAGTGATCTCTGTTTTTTCCTTATTAATGTGTTCATTATTTCAGATGGAGTATAAATACATCACATACCTAAATCTACTTATATTATTATGAAATTTGTGGCTAAATAGACCTTTGCCGAATAACTGAAGTTAAGTTTTTTGACAATGTATGTATATGAAGCATTCCTTTCAAAATCTAGTTTAATTTGCTTTTTTCATGCCTTCACATGGGTGATTTCAGGCAAGTGGTTTCCTTGTTTCAAGTAAGAGCCATGCAGTTGCAGAGGAAAGAGAGTTAGATGATCATGTGTACTCTAATGATGACTATGCAGATACAGCATCTTTACTTGAACAGGTAATTGGCTGCTTTGTTAAATACTATTTTGCATGATTAACTATAAACATGAAATCTTTTTCAGCAACGATTAACATGGTCATTCAATAAAAAATTTATTCTACAGGAGATGCGACATGAGCCATCAAATCATTCTGGTTTAAGATTTATTAGTGGCATTATCAGTAAATCCAAAGTTCTTAGGTTTGAGCGAATGTTGTTTCGTGCAACAAGGGGCAACATGCTTTTCAATCAGGCACCAGCTGATGAACCAATTTTGGATCCTGTAACAACTGAAATGGTCATCTTTTTCCTTATTTTGATTATTACTTTTTGGGATAAATCTTATCTCAATTTATTCTTCATTAGAACTTACAATATGAAAATTTGACTAAGCCTACTTTTTAATGGTATACTTTTTTTTTTTATTGCTATCAAGAACGTTGGATGAATTCTTTTACATTAAAAAATTTTGACTCTTCAGATATTGTCCATGCAGGTTGAGAAAATGGTATTTGTAGTGTTCTTCTCAGGGGAGCAGGCAAAAACAAAAACAACGAAAATTTGTGAAGCATTTGGTGCAAATTGCTATCCTGTACCTGAAGATATAACAAAACAGAGGCAACTAACTCGAGAAGTATGCTGTTGAATTTTACTGACTGCATTTTCAACATGCTTGCAAGAAAGATAATTTGATGATATGTTTATTCCATTTTCCCTATTATTGCTTAGCGGATAATGTAGTGTAGTTTACTTATGACTAGCAAAATATCCGCATGTGTTCTTTACAAGAAAGTTAATAAAAAATAAAATAAAAAATAGAACTTCTTTTTCTGCCATGCAGAATCCTATGTCAAATACAAGACGAGAGTTGAGTGAAAATATTTCCATCAAGAAAGTGGTTACAATATTATTCACACTTTCCTGTGACAACCAAGGGTCAAAATTTTGTTTTAGTATGTTGTTAAAGTTAGCTTGGAAATGAAATTGTTTTGGAAATATTTTGTTACTGTAAGTTGAATTTGAATGACAAAAGAATTTGAAAACGTTTGGAAATAAGTACTAAAATCTATATAAATGCTAATACATTCTCAATATTAAATAATTGAACATGTTGAGGTCTATCACTATTAAAAATTCATAAACAAAAGGTTTAAACCTAGTTGGGAAAGGTGTTTTTCATTGTAAGAAAAAACATTAGAAATACAAAATTCTAGTAGTAGTAGCAGCAGCAGCAGCAGCAGCAGGGATTAAAAAAAGAAGAAAGAAAGAAATACTTTGTAACCAAAACTAAAATAAAATAAAACGAGTGACTTAATCATGCTTGTTAAGTTTATCTTCTGTATCTTGCCTCTTCTCCTTTCTAGTTTATCAGATTCTCCAATAATCTTTTTACTTTTTCTTTGTTTTTATATCCCTTCTTTGGATACAAAAAGTCAAATAGAAATAATCATTGTTGGATATTCCTAATATGTGTCGAACAACTCATTGTTTCGTTGTGTTTCGGTGGAGATATTGGAATTTAATATTCCACTAATGTACTGTCTCGGTTTACAAACGGAAATGTTTCGGCCGTTTCGATGGAAAACAACAAATTTTTGTTTCTTGGTGCTGCAGCCTATGGGTTGTGTATAATATCCCATGTAAATTTTCGTATTTTGAATTAAAACATTATAGTAGGATATTCAAAATATGTTTTAACTTTTATTCTACTCAACTATGCTTTAGCATGATGGGCTGAAATGGTTCATGTATATACTACCTCAATCATAGAGTGCCCTGCAAGAGTTTTTGGCTAATAGTTGAACATGTTGGTTGCAGGTTTTGTCACGTCTCTCTGAATTGGAAGCCACCTTGGATGCTGGAATCCGTCATCGAAATAAGGCCCTTACTTCCATTGGATTTCAGCTAACAAAATGGATGAACATGGTAAGTGTGATGTTATTTTTCAAGAGCATTATGACCTTCAAATATCTGAAGTGGGAAGGAAGAGTGCAACTTTTATTTGATCCTGAAAAGTAAGTTCAATTATCTTCCTTTTTCTAGGTTAGAAGGGAGAAAGCTGTGTATGATACATTGAATATGCTTAATTTTGATGTCACAAAAAAATGTCTTGTTGGAGAGGGCTGGTGTCCAATATTTGCAAAACCTCAGGTACTTTGCTTTCTGCTTGTCGCACTCGTGTTTTGGGTAAGATATTTGCAATTGCATCCCTTATGTATTACATCAGTTTTTATAATGGATAAGGTTTTATTATGTACAGATTCAGGAAACATTGCAACGGGCAACATTTGATAGCAATTCACAAGTTGGTATAATATTTCACACAATGGATGCTGTGGAATCACCTCCAACATACTTCAGAACGAATTGCTTTACAAATGCATTTCAGGAAATTGTTGACGCATATGGGTAAGTTAAAATATGTGGCTATGTTTGATTTCTGTTCTTTCCTAATGAAAATTATAATCTTACAATAGAGCATTGTTTCCTTTGTTATATCATAACTAATGAAAACTTGAAACATTCTATGCAGTGGTTTATGCATATGAGTCTCTTTATTTTGTAATCTCATGCAAATGCCTTCCAATGTACCAAAACAAGAAAAAAATAATCTCATTTGAATGCATCATGTGATTTTGTGCATCAATTCCTTGCTTACCGTGGTTGTTTTACACAAGGAATAAAGATTATGGGAGCTCATTTAAGTTTAAGTTGCACTGAGTTGCACATCTTGTCTCCTAGTTAACATCATTAGTTTACATAAATCAAGAAGGGAACCAATTGTTGGGACCATGTGTATAGCATGTTTTGTCCATTACCACTGGTTAACAATTTTAAAACAAGTGAAGTATCTTTAGTTCTTTATGAACTATAACATCAATTTTGTTCTGATTTATTTAACTTTAACATCTTGTGGTTGATTGCACATGCTGTTCATCAATTATAAACTTTTTGGGTACGCTATTTTGCCACCAAATTATGTCCTTTGTTTTCCTGTGTACCTGTAAGCTTGGACAGATTACTAATACGGCAATCTTTGACAGTGTTGCTAGATATCAGGAAGCAAATCCTGCTGTGTATACTGTTATTACATTTCCTTTTCTTTTTGCCGTGATGTTTGGGGACTGGGGTCATGGAATATGCTTGTTGTTGGGAGCCTTATTCCTCATAGCTCGTGAAAGTAAGTATGGTTCACAGGTATGTTCTCTTTTCAGACAGTTTTTTTTTTAAAATTTTTTTTTGTTATTATTATTATTATAATTTTTTGAAGCTGAAAATGAATTGTGCTATCAGAGACAGCATGTCTACCTATATGAATCTTGTAAATGAGAATGAGATTCAGTGGACAATCCTTGTTTCCCACGAACTTGACCATGTAGTCCCCCCCAGTACCACAATATGAGAATTCCCATTGGTTGATGATACCACTATGTGGTATCACTATTATACCCAATATTTACTCCTTTTTCATGTGTCCATGCTTCTTGTTATAGATTCCCAATCTCTGTCGTTATAAACTCATACTCATCAAGATTCTTGGGATTTTTTCCGTTGATAAAGGATTAAGCGTTGGCATCTATGTTACATGGATTTGGGTACGGATGTGTATCTAGAGGTTAGACCCATAAAATCTCAAATTTAAGGGTATGTGGACTCGGCAAAAAAAGTTCATATATATATATATTTTTTATATTTTTAATCTATTATGTGAGATAAAGTGGGTGCTATATATAACCTATAGGTGGTGTTTGGCACCACTTTCGAAAGTTCTTCCTGATTGTGAAAGTCCTTCACAAAATCTTTCAGTGTTTGGTGAAATTGAAGGAAAGGCATTTCAGTGGAATTTCTTGACTCCAACACCTGTTCCGCAAAAGCTAGCTGGGGCAGCTTCTTGTGTTGACTTCTCGTGTTAAACTGATATGTTGGTGCTATATATCCAGGTTAATTGAAAAGTAGTAAAATGGTATGTTATGAAATCTATGTTTAATAATAGTTTGTATCAATACTTTTAGGGTAAATTACAAATACACACCTTAAGGTTTGCTTAAAATACGGATTGCTTCTTGTGTTTGGAAAATTACAAATACTCCTTTGTCAGAATTTTTTATTCAACAAAATTAATTGAAAAAATGAAATTCCTAACTGCTCTCCTATACAATGATAAAATTACCTGAATTATTAATTGAAATAAATTTTTGACATATTTAAAAATTATTAATTGACTTGATGATTTATTATAAAAAGGGCCATTTGTTATAAAATTAGAAACTTCAAGGGCTGGAATGTAATTTCCAAAACTAGAGGGGGCAAATTGTATTTTAAGCAAATCTCAGGGAGTGTATTTGTAATTTACCCATAATATTAATACACATGCATGAACTTGCCATATATTTAAATGGGATGTAGGTTAGCAGGAGTATTCATGGTAAAACAAAAATTGTTTATATATATTATTCCATTAATTTAAAAAAAATAAAATTGTAATTGAAACTTAAATTAAAAAAGAGAAAATATTCATGAAGAACTTTCAAAATGTCCACCTTCCAAACACAATTTTATTGTAGAAAGACCTTTGAAGAACTTTCCTAGAAGTTCATTTCCCAAAAATCCTTACTTTTTGAAGATGATGTGCCAAACAAGCCCATAGTGTCACTAAGATATTTTATAGCAATTATACAACAATATATAGATATAAGATAGTGTTAGACCATCTCCAACGGTGAACCAAACTTGGCATCAGATTCAAATTTTGCTGAAAAAAAGCACTTTTTGGTGCTCCAACCGTTTCACCAAATTGATATCAAAATGAGAATTCAACAAAAAAATCATCAAACTGAGAACAAGGTACTGATTTTACCAAATTACTGTTCCTGACCGTTGGAAGAGCTGAACCGGTCAACTAGCCGGTTGCCCGGCCGGTTGACCAACCGGTCGACCGGTTCCCTTTCAAGTAGGTAGGTTCAAACAGGTCAAAAAAGGTTCAAACAGGTAAAAAAAAAAAAAAAAATTGCTCTTACCGGTCGACCACTTCCCTCAATTCTGCTTTGATGCTCACCGTTGGAGCGCCTCGTATCAAATTGAGAAAATCGTCCTTTTTTTCCTCAAATTTGATGAAAAAAGAAGTTCACCGTTGGAGATGCTCTTAAATACAAATATATAAGAAGTGTCTGATGAAAAATATTGGATGCATATCCTACGCCCTTGTCCAAGTGTCAGTATCCGACATGGGTATTTGATTAATTTTGAAGAGTCCATGTAATATAGGGTGGCATGTTCAACATGATGTGCATCACAATCTCTTATCCATGTTATACCCAAAAGTATATGGCAAAATTTGAGTGGAAAAACATTGCACATGACTGTCTTCTTAAGGTTCCCAATTGGTGAATGTGATTGGACATTGTTATCAATCTCCAACTTTGTGTTAGTGATCTAAGCCACTTGATATGGCTCTGGATGTGGCTCAATTTTCAACCCTAACTTCTTGACGGTGCCTTCGGATAACACATTAGTACCATTCTTAGTATCAAACACCAATGAACATATTTGCCTTTCGCAATTGACCCTTGTTTTAAACAATTTCCCTCCATGATAATGATCTTCATCACTCTCGAAAACTTGTTTAGTAGTTACCATAAGAAGACGAATAAAACACATTAAATCATCTAAATCATCAAAGCTCATCTCCAAATTAATGTTAAGGGCTTAGTAGCAAGAATTGTCTCAGATGCTCACGAATTTGAGGAAGAAACGTGATTTTGCGTTTGTGAGGAAGAATCGGAGAAGAATTGCGAGTCTAAGGAGGGAGTAACATGAATCTGATTTGTCTCTATCTCTAAGGAAGAATTGGAGAAGAATCGATCTTCTTCTCTCTCTCTCTCTCGTTTTGTCTCTCTTTTTATTTACTTTTGAGATAATTTATTATATTTTATTTAAAGATAATGACTTTATGTGTTATATCACTCTTGCCGATCAAAAAAAATAAAATAAAATATCACTCTCCTATTTTTATTGGTTCTCTGTGTTCTACAGATCCAAGAATATCGCTCCATTATTATTATTGGTCCGTGTTTTAAAGATTCAATAATATCACTTCATTAATTTTTTGGTCTTTATGATTTAAAGTTTCAATGATAATGACCTATTTTTTATTTTTATTTTATAGATAGCTATTTTGATGATAATATTAATGAGAATGAATTAAAATATTATTATAATGTTTGAATTTATTAATTTATGTTGTTTTCATATTTAGAATGAATTTTTATTTGCTATTCATTTTTAAAAAATATTTTTTATGTTGTGTTTAATTAATTAAATATTACATAAAAATAAAAAATTTAGAACTCATTTATAACATATATACATGTCAATTAAAAATAAAAAGAAGTTTATATAGACAAATTAAAAACATTTTCAATAAAAATAATATATAAGCGTTGCCAAACTAACACTCTTTTAAGCGGTCGCGCTCCCCCGCTCCTGCTCCCGTTTTGTGCCACTAAGGTTAAGGGGATTATAAATCTCTTCTTCAAGTAGTGGTTCATTAGGCTCCTTAGCCTCCTTAGCCCCCTCTGGTATTTTCCTTTCAAACTGACTTGGTAGGGCATTGAAAACAAAGATGACCATAACATTTTAGAATTGAATTACTACTTACTTGAGACAACGAAGATGAAGCACTAGGATGCGGTGGCTTGTTGAAAACATAATGCAGCTTGCCAAGAAACTTACCTCGATTTGATTAGGAGGAACCACGATAGCGCAAATTCTAACACAAATTCTTTTAAAATTAACTCAATTAAATCAATGAGATTGCATATATATATATATATATAGGCTAAAAGACTAGGAAGAACAAGCAAGAGAGTCAACACAAATTCTCATAAAATTAACTCTATTAAATAGATTATGGATATATTTATAGACTAAAAGACTCATACTTCTATAAGCTAGGACTCTAATTCAAAAACTACGAATATTTAGTAACTATAAATATTTTAGACCAACTATGATTATTACTTATGGTTCTACTCCAACCATGTTATGAATTCAAAATAAGACACTTTGACCCTTTTGACTACTAAGACTATTCTAGACATTATAAATCTCGTATCTATTGACCTATTTAGTAACTTGACCCAAAAGAAATCTCATAGGCAACCCCTATAACCCATGTCCAACAAATTATGAAATTACTAAAATAACCTTAGCTACTAAACACTTCCATGAACACTTCTCTTTAAACCGAAAAGGCTTCTTGATGATTGCAAGACCCTTAACTTTGTTTAGATCTTCCAAAACCTATCATACTTGTTTAGCCATGCATTAGAGGTTGCATCATATACACTCTAACTTGAGTATTTGTTTCCTGTCAGAAACTTGGAAGTTTTATGGAGATGCTATTTGGTGGCCGCTATGTGCTCCTTTTGATGTCGTTGTTTTCGATTTATTGTGGGCTAATTTACAATGAGTTCTTTTCCGTTCCTTTTCACATATTTGGAGGATCCGCTTACAAATGCCGAGATACTACATGCCGGTATATATTGTTTTAACCTTTCTTTTCTCCTAATAAATCTCCTAATGAAATAAATCTAATTATTTTCTCAGTTGCCTTTTATGTTAGGTTTCCAATGCCTTCTTTGTTAATGTAAACTCTAGGCCTTTTTGAAGAGGAGATATGATGCTTGATTACATTTTTAGAGCTACTTGTGGCCCTGAATGAATTTTTTTATCTTTTTGGTGCTGTTCGTGTGTTGCCCTTTTTTACTTTTTGCATAAATTCATGAAAATTCCTGTAGTCTTTTTATGTCAGTTGTGTGCAATCACATCTAGGGTGGGCATAGGTAAGTTTGATTCAGGTTGGTGTCCACCAAGGATCAAACTGATCCACCTTGGTTGTCCAAAAATTAGTATTGAGAATCAAACTGTAAGATGAGAAAACCAAACCAAACCGATCAACTGTGAATTAAAAACAATTAATATAAAGAGCTAAATAAAATAATGGACAAAACCTTTATGTTGCTTTTCTTGTTGGTTTATAGTACCAAATAAAACAATGGGCCTAACCGTTATGTTGCTTTTCTTGTTGATGAGATGTTTTTGCATTCTCAGCTCATCAATTCAGGTTTGTATATTTTTGACTGGTGTCAACCCTCCCTATGTCTCTGGCTCGTATTCGGAAGTGCATTAAAGATGAAGATAAATGACAAAGATGATGGAGGAGAGAGACAACTCAAGAGAAAGGAGATGGAAGGTGGTGGTGACCAGTGATGGAGGTAGGCTGGCTGGAGGTGGAGAAGAAAAGGGAGGGAGCATAAGAGAGAGAAAGAGAAAAGGGGGCAGAGAACAAAGAGAAGTAGGACTCAGAGGAATGGGAATGTGGCTTCAACAGTGAAGGTGACACTGAGCTGAATGGTTGATGGCAACATGGGTTGTCGGATGTGTGGATGGTGGCGATTGCAGGTGGCTATGGCCAAGACCCACCCCCTCCCAATACTTGTGTTTTGTAGTGAAAGAAAAAGGTGAAAAGAAAAAGAAGTCAGAGATTCGAGATAGCATAGAGAGTGATGTTTGTAATCTAAGGGAAAATGTTGGGTTATGATTGTGTGTTGGAAAGTTTAACCATTTTAAATTAAAATATGGTTGGTTCTCATGTTGGTTTGGGTGACTCAAGCTAACTTGAGAACCTAATTGACCTGGTCGGGTTGGCCATTTGTAGACCACGAACCAAATCATGACCCTTATATAACCGAACCAATCTAACCCATAGGGGTTGGGTTGTTTAGGTTTGTGGGTTTTTCTGAGTTGGTTGAACACCCCTTCAATTCACATCTATGATATCTATGCTTTAGAATATGGTAGCTTGGATCAATAGCGAATTTTGCTAGGCTAGCTGACCATATTTTAATTAAGAATGTGTTAAGGGTTGGCTTTAGTGCACTAGGATTATTTGATCTTCAATTAAGACATAAATGGCTGTTGACCTGGTCTATAGGTGGCGATTTTATTTTTCAAATTTTAATTTTAGTTGCTCCTTGTCTTGTAGTCAATTTTGTAATGTGGTCAAGGGTGATTTAAGTTTTATGAAGCAGTAATTTGATTCTTTGTCAAGATAACTAGGGTCGTATTATCAATCAACATCTGCACTTTCGTGTTTTTGAATTTCAATTGGATCATAATGTTATGTTCTCATTGTGGTTATTTTTGATAATACAATAAATTTGTATGCTATGTTTCCACTAAGAAGCATGATTATAACACAATACAAACACACCAACATGGCAATTTTAAAAAATTTAGGGCACAACACACAATAATCTATATATCTATATGTAATATGTAAATGACAGTAGTTCATTTTTATTATAGAAATAAATTTATATTTTGTTTTGTCTAAATCATGGTTTTAAATCATGATATCGGGACACGTAGTAGTGTCGGTTGTAGTCGATATTAGAAGTATTGAATGATACATATTGGGAATTGGGTGTCGCGGTTGTGAACTTTTCAAAATCATCAGCAATCCCTAACTCAATGATATTCATTTTTTTTATTCTCTTTAGTTTAATTTGTCACATTGTATTCAATATTTTGCTAGACAGTAGTATTTTTTTACTATCAAGTGATCTACATAAAATTTAAGTTATTTTGTCATGATCTTCAACTCTTTCATCATGACTGTCTTTTTCTTTTTCTTTTAAACCTGTCCCTCTGTCCCACGTTGAAAAAGCATGAAGAAACTATGCTAATTTGATTCCCAGGACTCATTTCTCCATTAAAAGTACAAACCCACGTGGTTTCATATGAAGAGCCTAGCTATTGTGTTATGCTATAAATGCCCTAGCTTGCTTAACTTCTGTGTAACACTTTTGTGGTAGATGTTGGCATGTAGGCCTCAATGTCATCAAATGCCATGTGCTACCATAGTGGAAGCACAAATGGGCAGATTCAAAGAAAGAAGTTGAAGTGTTTAAGTATAAATTTTTGTCATTGCCGAACTAGCCTGAACTGGCTTGGTTTCGTTAGAGAATCGGCATTTCCAACTTTTTCAGTCTGATATGTATTGGACAACTGGCCGGTTCGCATGGGAATTCTTTCACCACTCTATCGGTTTGTATTGATTTTCCGACACGTACTGACTGTTAAGCTATGAACCAGCAAGTCTAAATACTAAGAAATCATTTTCGACATTCTATATGTTAGAAAAGAAGCATGAACAAGCTAATTAGAAGTTTTAGGCTTTAGGTTTTCTATAGGTATACAATCCTGAGGAGTGGTTAATAGGTTTTGAATCCATGTTGTTTTGATTTTATTGGCATCAAGTTATTTTCTTCAAATTTACAATGTGTTTCATGGATGAATAAGCATCCCCAAGTGTCCAGGACATGTCCGCTTCTGAAAGATTAATGAAAGTAATAATAGGACACATTTGTCCAACACATCCCATTTGATGGGACTTAAGGCTTGGTTTGGTTTGGTTTATTTGTCCAACACATGTTGGGATGTGTCTCATGAGTGTCGGTATCCAACACAGACATAATGCCTTCTTAGAAGTATCTGTACTCCATAGTGTTTTAGTTTGGCCATAGATCAACTGTATGCATAATTCTGGTCATATATGATTTTTTTCTAACTTGTTTGGGAACGGGCTATTTTAGTAACTTTTTGGCTTTTTGGCTAAAATATGAGATAAAAAAACTAGTATGTTTTGAATGACTTTTTGGTTTTTTACTAAAAGATGTGCAAAAAGTAGAGAGAAAATAGAATCTTTGATTTTTTGGTATAGGTTATAGGTTTTTTGATTTTTTTAGTAACTTTTTGACTTTTTGGCTAAAACACTCACATGCCAAACGAGGCATGGTTTTCTACTCATAATCAATCATATATGTTGTTACTCTCCAATCGCCCATCCTTCAATTGATGGAGATTTTCAGTTAGTTTTTACTATTTTATATATTTTTTTCTTTTCTTTTCTTGTTACTCTTATTTTTCCTAAATCTAATTGTAATGCCATGCAATACTTCACAAGAACTTTTTTCTTTGATAGCGATGCGCATTCTGTTGGTTTAGTGAAATTCCAAGATCCATATCCATTTGGTGTCGATCCCAGCTGGCGCGGAAGTCGTACAGAGCTTCCCTTCTTGAACTCTCTCAAAATGAAGATGTCTATTTTGTTGGGTGTGGTCCAGATGAACTTGGGAATTATATTAAGCTACTTCGATGCTCGTTTCTTTCGAAACTCTCTGGATATTAGGTGTGTATTTACTCCACTCAACTTTCCCCTCTTTCTACCAGCGTGGCTAACTAGATTAACGTGGAACTTACCTTTTGCTTTGTTGTTAGGCATCAGTTTGTGCCACAGATGATCTTTCTAAACAGCCTTTTTGGGTATCTATCAATTCTCGTTGTCATCAAGTGGTGCACTGGTTCTCAAGCTGACCTTTACCATGTAATGATTTACATGTTTCTGAGTCCCTTTGAGGACCTTGGTGAGAATCAGTTGTTTTGGGGCCAGAAAACACTTCAGGCATGACCTTTTCTCATTCTTCTTGTAGTTCGTGTGAGCTCAAATTATTTAACTTCCAAGCATTTTTGGTTGATTCATAGTAGATGTTTTGCAGATCATATTGTTGCTTTCGGCACTTATTGCAGTTCCATGGATGCTTTTTCCAAAGCCTTTTATTTTGAAGAAGCTTCACTCCGAGGTACTCTTTGTTGTTCACTTTTTCTATGTTTCTAATTCCTGGGCTAATTGAGTAGTTTTCCTGAATACAACTCCATATTTTTTACTGGTCAAAGAAAAACGAAAAAAGAATAAAAGCGGTCTATGTACTTATGGTTAATTAGTTTGTTTATGCTTTTAGCTAATTTTTTTTTTCTTCATAAACTTGTTATTGCCTTAGGATAGTTCTATTAATTCAATTCTGTTATTGACCTAGGACACTCATGTGTAAAAGTGGATTGGCCTAGGGAACATCCTGTTGAATATAGAAATTACAGTACAGAATTTTTTTATTTATTTTTAGTATTATGTATATAATTTGTCATTATGTCAATCACTGATTTAGTATTGTTTCCTTATTTATATTGTTTACTAAATTGTATCATAAATCTATTATATATACACGGTCTCTACCTCATTTATGGGGAAGCCAAATAATTCTTTTCATTATTTTTGGTATCAGAGGTAGGTTAAGTACCTAGTAATTTTGCTTTACCGGCGGGCGGCAACCTTGCCTTGGCCGCCCGTCGGATCTCAACCCATTCCACTGCCATATTTTCTTTCAGTATCACTTCGTGGTGATCTCTTCCTTTATCTACTAGTTTATTCTTATCTCAAATATCTCTATCATATTTTTTTTTTACTCGCAATTCATTTTTTTGTGTTTCTATGCACTTTGTCTTTCCCTCTATTTCAACCCCAAATAGGTTTCTATTTTCAAACCTGTTTGAGTTTGAGAGGGAGGTATCATACCTATATCATGGTGAGCATGATGATATATCATGTGAACCACCTAAGCCGCCCCATCTGGTGCACAACTTAAGTCGCCCCCCCCTAGCGCACTTTCTAACAAGCTGCCCCTTGATGCACTCAGTTATCTGTTACCATCATTGTTCAGCACTACGTCACAAGTTATTTGTGTGCCACGCTTGCTGGTTCAACATCCAGTTCTCTACATCGGTCCGGCACGATCCCTTTAAACTGTGTCGACATTGATTTCGGTTAGTCTCTACAACGGTCTAACATGACCCTTTAAAATTGTCCCGACATTGATTCCTGTTAGTTCCTACAACGGTTCGGCATGACCCTGTAAACTGTCTTGACATTGATTCTAGTCAGTTCTTACAATGGTCTAGTATAACCTTAAACTGTCCCGACATTAATTCTGACCAGTTTGTTTAACAGTCCGGCACGATCATAAACTATCTCTTGGCATTAGCTCCGGCCTCTGATGCCAGCCAGGTCTTGTGGCTACCGACTAAGGTGTTTCCTGGCCATAGATGATTCGGCAGCTCTTCTAGGGCAGTACAATTCTTATTTTTTCCCTTTCTAGGGTGTGGTGCTAATGTATTAAGTACTTTTTTGGCCTTTTTTATTTAGTGGGCTACCAGATTTGTTCGGTAGCATTTATTTGGACTAGCCATTGAGTTTTTTTCGGCTTCTTCCAGTCATCCATTGGCAAGCTGCGATTGTTGAAGATTTTCACACCAGTTTGAGGGGGAGTGTTGAATATAAAAACTAGAGTACATAAAATCTTTTTATTTTTAGTATTATGTATATAATATGTGATTGTGTCAATCACTGATTTAGTATTGTTTTCTTATTTAAATCATTTCTTAAATTGTATCATGAATTTATTATATATACATGGTCTCTATCTCGTTCATGGGAAAGCCAAACAATTCTTTTCATCCCAGCGATTTAAGTTCCCCCAATAGACTCAAGTTCGTGTCTCCTTAACTTATCTATCAAAAATAAATCAGTGTGTTTAGTTTCAATTTTCTAAAAATTAGTTTTTTTGTTTTTCGTATTTTTTTATTTTTAGTGAATATTTTTTAAATTTCAAGCAATTTTTAAAACTTTTTTAGATGTTCCTTACTTAGATGTATCTAAATAGTAAACTATTTTTGAAAAAATATTTTAAAAAAATAATAAATACTCAAAAATATGGAAAATGTACTGAATTTTTGTTTTTTGTTTTTTTTTTTGTATTTTTGGTATTTAGTGAATTTTTTAACGATTTTTTACACAAATATTATACTTTCTAAGTGTATTTATTTTAGGTATGTCTAAAAATTTTAAAAATTGCTTAAAATATTAAAAAAATATGAAAAACGAAAAAGTAGAATTTTTTGAAAAGTGAATTCTGAAAACTGAAAACAAACCCGAGTGAATAATGTCTTTGTTCATCAAATTGATGCATAATGCTTTCCTCTTTATATCTTGTGCATCTCATAAGACATGTCTTAGCTCCATTCTAGATGATTTTACTTTCGGCAAACTATTTAAAGTGGAATAGAATCAATAGAGTGGTTCTTGAAACTTGAGTTTCCTTTAGTCACTCCTCAAAGGCCCCCCTCTGGTTCGCATGAGATGAAATATGGAAATGGAATCCTATTCCGTGGATACTTTTCCAGTGTTTGGTAATTGGTATATTAAGGACCTGTAATAGATTTCAAATCTGGAATAGCATTCCGAACATTGAGGGAATCTTATTCCCATTTCAAAGGTGGGATTAGGATTGCACTCCCATGGAATGAGTTACAAAAGACACTATGATGTTTGATATAGTGTATGCACACACATACACATCAGTAGAATCATATTGTATAATAACATTAAAAACAAAAAAATAAAGAATAAGTATTTATTGTGTAATCATGTATGAAAAATTAAGATATACTGTCATGTAGTGTTTTATATTCCTGACAGTTAAATGTAATGTATTTTGTATATATTATACATAAACATATGAAACCTACATTGTGTATGTGTATATTCAAATTCAAATTTCAGTCAAATTATGTATTAAAATGGAGGATTCCAGCATGTTACATTCCTTCCTACATTCCATCCCCACTCCCTTCTATTCCTGAGAACCAAATGGGGCCTAATAGAGTGATGATTACGAGAATTGCATTGGTGGATAGTTCATCATGTGAAAATTTGGGTGTTCGTTTATAGGCATTAAATCCTGGTCTGCTGTGTTAATGCTCAGACTAAAGTTGGCTCTGTTTTGTCAAATTTTCATTGTTTGCTTGATGGACATGGAAAAATCTATGATTGGCTTATCAACGTTTCATTCCATTGGAATGCTTTCAATTTAATTATAATTTATATATATAAAAAACACCGCCCAATTAGTACCCATTAGTGGGGTGTTTGGGAGGGGTTAGATTGGGTATACATACCTAACCTTTGACATAAATGCACAAAGTGGCTGTCTTCAAACTTGAGCCCATAACTTCAACGTTAGTATGCCAAGGTTTTAAACCATTGAACTAGTGGTATCAATTTAATTGTCCAGGATAAAAAATGAAAGGTAGTGCTATCAATTCAATTTCTAAGCTTGTGCTAGCACTTAGCATAGGATTGGCATATAGACAGCTTGTATCCTTCTAAAATGTTTGAATCATAGATTTGTATAGGGATTTGATGAGGAAAAGGAAATAGGAAGGGAAAAGTGATACATATATAATCTAATTTTTTGTCGCTTTTCCCTTTTCTTTTCCTTTCCCTTCATAAATCTCTGCCCAAATCCTCGATCCAAACACAACCTTATGAAGCTTTGACAGGGGATTTGAACTCTTGCTCTACTTCTTTCATGCACACAGGTGGCCGTGCTTGTGTGCATGCAAATATGGTTTCATATACCCTTCTTACAATTCCAATGCCTGATGTGTTCCAAAACCAATGCCTGATGTGTTCCAAATGTCAATAGCATTTTAATCAGCACATCACTCGTTTTAATCAGCAAATTGCTCTTCTTTTTGTTGCCTGTGTAAGTGTGTTTCTCTAGTGGTTGTGGGCTAATGTTTGGCTTTGTTGAGTTTCGTAGTCTTAGAGTGTCAGGTTTCAATCTTTTATCTATTTGTGGTAGCAATAAATGGAAGAGAAGTTGCTTGAAGGGCTTATTTATTTATGAAAGTAGTGATTGATTTAATATATTTTCTAGAGATTTCAAGGTCGTACTTATGGAATGCTCGGAACCTCTGAGATGGACCTGGATGTGGAACCTGATTCTGCAAGGCAACGTCATGAGGAATTTAATTTTAGCGAGGTCTTTGTGCATCAAATGATACATTCTATTGAGTTTGTGCTTGGTGCTGTCTCCAACACAGCATCATACCTACGGCTTTGGGCTTTAAGGTTCATCTATTGTTTTTTTACATTCATAAACACATTTTAATTTATTTCAAAGTATCTTGTGGTTGATATTTACTACTGCTAATACAGCTTGGCCCATTCTGAATTGTCAACCGTTTTCTATGAGAAAGTCCTCCTCCTTGCCTGGGGGTAAGTATATTATCCAAGATTTACCCTATTGCACGCTCTTCTGCTGCCATTTCATCTTCCATTAGCGTGCACGTCTCTTTATTGGCTCTTTGTTTGGTGCATTAACTACAGAGTTATACTACTGCAATTTCCTCATACCATGATTCTTACCCAAACTATTGCTGGACCGCCTCTCAGCCCCTCAAATTGACATTTTTATTACATATGTTTTAGTGTTGTATAAGCACTATATTTTCCTTTTTTTTTTTTGGGGACAAGTAACCAGGCCTTATATTCTTTTGCTGTGGGTTGAATGATTTCAAAAACATATCTGTATTGCTATGATCATGGGGCTATTGATGGTGGGTTTGTTGTCTATGATGGTTTGGTCATGCATGGATGACCAATAAATGTATCTATAGGGAGGGTGAAGGTCCTGAAAGAGGACAGGGGAAGGCGAAATGACACGGGTACCGATGAGGATGAGGTTGTAGAGAGTGCTGAGTAGTAGGAATGATTTGTTCACTTGCTTAACCAAGGACGTGTAGAATTGAGTTGAGTAGATGCCAAGCAATTGGTTTAAATCTTTTGAAGTATCTTTGAAAAAAGCTGAAAGATTTTGTGATCTCTTGTGATAGCTAAGCTTGTAGAATTTTTTTCGAGTGTTGACTATTTTTAGCTGTGCCATTGTAGTGAACCGGAAAATAAATGATTGTCAATATAATAGAGGACATGGCATGGATAGAATATAATGGCGGAGTATATAGCTGGTGTTGAAACAGAGTAATTTTGGTTGGTGCTTTATTGAGTTAATTAGACAATAGGATAGTATTTCTGGTCTCTTCCTAAGCATTTCTCCCTCTTGTGCATTGTTTGTTCCGTTTATAATACTAAATTACCAATTGATAGAGAAACGTAATGCCCAAAAATAGTATTGTCAGCTTCCATAATAGGAGTGTAAGAGTGGATATTTCAGTTTAGAAATTATTTGATGTTAAAATTTACAGCCTTTGTGTAACATATCACTCCAATGATTCAGAGAGTGTATTCTTGTACTATGCTTGCTTCATTTTGACACTATCGTCTTTTATTATTCTATACTACCATTAATGACAATGACTATTGCAGGTATGACAACATCATCATCCGGTTGGTGGGGTTTGCAGTTTTTGCCTTTGCTACAGCCTTCATACTACTAATGATGGAGACCCTTAGTGCTTTCCTTCACGCATTGCGTCTCCATTGGGTCGAATTCCAGAACAAGTTTTATCACGGTGATGGCTATAAGTTCAGACCTTTCTCCTTTGCCTCATTAACCGACGAGGATGATTAGTTCATTTTCATTATGTATTTTTTTGCGAAGAGCAAAGCACAAAGAAAAGAAAAAAATTAATAGTTCCAACAAAGGTAGAAAAAGTCAAATTTTGTGCCTCTTCGCTTCGACACCGTGCAGCTCGATTAGCTTAGAAATGTAAAATCTTTAGCTAAGATTCTTTGGATGTGTGGGTGGGTATAAAAGGATTCTGCCTAATTGTATTGGTAAGCCGGTTACCAAGAGAGCTTGTAATTTTATTTTATTTTTGAATTTTTTTAATTATATTTTGGGTCGATAGGGGTTGGGATTCAGTTGCTGTAAAGAGGGTCCCATTCTACCATCCACCGCCAGGGTTGTTAGTTCTATTATTGGAGAGGCAGATTTATAGAATTTCACACATATATACACACACATGGTGGTGTGGATTTTGGCAAGGAATTCTTTTGTTGTTCTTTCTTTTTTGTAATAATAATGAGTTACATGCACACAGAGTAGTTGTGCTTTATAGAGGCTTATTATTATTATTATTATTATTATTATTATAGAGAAGTCCAAGTTGAATAATTTTAGGTTCTTGTCTACCTGTGTGATGAATAATTCATCTCCTTTTTCATGGATTATTATTATTATTATTATTATTATTATTATTATTATTATTATTATTATTATTTGTGGTGATAGGTCCATGGTGTTCGTGGGTGCTGCTATTGTCAGAGACACCTCTAGTTTTTTTTTTTGGCGGGAAATAAAAGAAATTCATTGAAGTAAGGAAGGAAGCAATGGTAAGAATACAAAAATCAAACACTAAGGCTTGGTTTGGGGTACACAAATAATACAAAAAGTCAAAAAGTCACTATCCTATTTAAGTCACATCATCTTATTTAAATCACATCACTTCTCTAACACATCATATCAAACCCAACTCATATAAGTCAATAAGTCAAAAAGTACACTTTTTTAGAACATCCCAAACCAGCCTTAAAACTGGACATAAAGCACATGAATGAATAAGATTTTATAATATTTGTTGTGGGGTTTAAGTTGTAAAATTTTAATCTATTCATTTGTTTTTATATTTGATTTTGTGTTGTGACTTGTTTTCGTGTTCTTAGATATTGTTACAAGTGTGTTGGGGCTTAAATCCCCCACGTGACTTGCTTGGAGGTCGATAGAATGGGTCTAGATGGGATCTACTTGCAACCGTTTTCTCAGGATTTTTGTTACTGTTTTCTAAAGAGGAGCTTGAGTCATGGAGAGAATATGATAAAAAAAAGTGGATGATGACAATCATGAGTCTCATACTCTGTGATCACACATACCGGACTCAAAAAGCCATGCACCTTTACAACTTGGGCCAGCACTGTCACATGGTGGAACTCGTGAAATATCTCAACAATTCTTAATGTATACAATCTTATAGTAAAGATTTAAAAATTAAAAAAAATACGTATGTTGATATATATAGGATTTCACAAGGATACAAAGAAATGTGATTTTTTTTTGGAAATGTCAATTTGTCCCATCCCGTCCTCATTTGTGTGGATTTATAGCTCATGTATAGATATTTATAATTTAATTTATTAAATATAATAAAAATAAAGTATCTAAACATTCATAAATATCTTATTTTTTTATATTTGTATCTCTCATTTTTAATACTTTAATTCTCAATTCACATCAATATTTATTTTGTTATATATTATATCATCTCTTTATCACTAGTACTATTCCCTCTTCCCTCTTGAAGGTAACAAATTTCCTCGACACTTTCCTACTCTCACACACCCTCAGCATTTTCTTCAAATTCAGCCTGTCTCATTGTCATTTTTGCTGTTTTATATGTTTAATAATTTTACAAAATTATTTGTAGAATAAACGACACTTTTTGTTGGGCCATTTCCCAAAATAAGCCCAACTGCTAGCCTATTTCTCAAACTGAGTCTAGTTTGGCCGAAATTCTCAAAATAAGTTAAAGTGTAGTTACAAATCACGCTTTCACCATATTTTGACCTAGGCGTGAAAAATGAATAAAATTATAAAAGTGTGGTTACAAATTACACTTTTAATTAATAAAGCGTGATTAGAAACCACGTTTTTAAAAAAAGTTGTGTTGTAAAGAAAACGTGGTTAGAAACCACGCTTTCAAAACCACACGCACTCACTCTTCTCTCTCACACTTCTTTCTCTGACACACACATCACTCACGCAGCCACATGAAACATATATAATTTTTAATATATATAAATTTTATGTTATAAAATTGAGACTAATATTAAATATATATAATAATAATTTATAATAACAAATAATAATTAACTATATAAAATGATTATTTTTTTATTTTAATTCTTAAAATTTTTTTATTTTTTTATTTTAAGGTTTAAGATTTAGGGTTTAATTCTTAATTTTATTTTTATTTTAGTGTTTAGGGGTAAATTTTTTTTATTTTTTATTTTAGGGTTTAGAGTTTAATTCTTAAAATTTATTTATTTTAATTTTAGGGTTTAGGATTTATAGTTTAATTCTTAATTTTTTTTTTATAAATCCTAAACCCTAAAATAAAAATAAATAAATTTTAGGGCAAATTACATATACCCCTTGAGGTTTGGCCAAATTACAAATACCCCCGAGGTTTGAGAAATTACAAATTCCCCCTTAATACTATATTTGCATAACAAATTAGGGGTTAATTTGTTATGAAATTTAAACCTTAGGGGACAAATTGTTATGAAAATACAAACCTTAAGGGGCGGGATGTAATTTCCAAAACCTCAGGGGTATCTGTAATTTAGCCAAATCTCAAGAGAGGTATATGTAATTTGTCCTAAATTTTTTAAGAATTAAACCCTAAACCCTAAAATAAAAAAATAAATTTTATCCCTAAACAATAAAATAAAAAAAAATTAAGAATTAAACCCTAAATCTTAAACCTTAAGGCCTGTTTGGTAGCCATTCCATTTTCAGTTTATATTTACAAAAATTTTAAAAACTGTCATAAAAACTTGTTTCATAATTTTTTTGGTTTATAAATGGTTCTCTTAGTTTATAAATTTGAGGAAAAAGCGTAAACTCAAAAAATGAGTTTACGTTTTCAATTTTTAATTTTTTTTTCAAATATATTTTTTTTCAATTATTTTTTTTCCAAATATTTTTTTTCAATTAATTATTTTTTCAATTAATTTTTTTTTAAATTATTTTTTTCCAAATAATTTTTTTTCAATTAATCTTTTTTTTCAATTATTTTTTTTCCCAATTATTTTTTTTAAATTATTTTTTTTTCATTTTTTTTCAAATAATTTTTTTTTCAAATAATTTTTTTCCAATTATTTTTTGAATTTATTTTTTTTCAATTATAATGTGTGTGATCTTATTTTCATAAATAATAAAAGGGCAAATTACATATACCTCCCTTGAGGTTTGGCTAAATTACAGATACCCCCCTGAGGTTTCAGAAATTACATCCCGCCCTCTGAGGTTTGTATTTTCATAACAATTTGCTTTTTTTTCAATTATTTTTTTCCAAATAATTTTTTTTTTCAATTATTTTTTTTAAAATTATTTTTTTTTCGTTTTTTTCAAATAATTTTTTTCCAATTATTTTTTGAATTTATTTTTTTTCAATTATAATGTGTGTGATCTTATTTTCATAAATAATAAAAAAAATAAAAATATTTTAGGCCTGAACAAACATATTTTTTAGTTTATGTTTTTAAATTTTTTAAACATTTTGTTCAAACCAAACGCATTTATAATTTATGTTTTTCTAAAAATAAATAAAAATCAATTTATAAAATTTTTGTAAACATAAACAAAAAACGTAAACGTTATCAAACGCTACCTAAAAAAAAATAATTAAGAATTAAAATAAAAAAGTAATCATTTTATATAGTTGATTATTAAAAAATAAATAAATAAATTTTATAGTTGATTATTTTAGGGTTTAGGATTTATAAATAAATAAATAAATCATTTTATATAGTTGATTATTTTAGGGTTTAGGATTTATATAAATAAATAAATTTTAAGAATTAAAATATAAATTCTAAACCTTAAATCCTAAACCCTAAAATAAAAATAAATACATTTTAAGAATTAAACTCTAAACCCTAAAATAAAAAAAAAATAAATTTTATCCCTAAACACTAAAAAAAAAAAATAAAAAAAATTAAGAATTAAACCCTAAATCTTAAACCTTAAAATAAAAATAAATAAATTTTAAGAATTAAAATAAAAAATAATCATTTTATATAATTGATTATTATTTGTTATTATAAATTATTATTATATATATTTAATATTAGTCTCAATTTTATAAAATAAAATTTATATATATTAAAAATTATATATGTTTCATGTGGCTGTGTGTGAGTGACGTGTGTCTCAGAGAGAGCAGCATGAGAGAGAAGAGTGGGTGCGTTAGTTTTGAAAGCGTGGTTTCTAATCATGTTTTTTTTCAACACAATTTTCTTTAAAAGCGTGGTTTTTAACCACGCTTTATTAATTAATAGCGTGATTTGTAACCACGCTTTTATGATTTTATTTATTTTTCACGTCTGAGTCAGAAATTTAGTGAAAGCGTGATTTGTAACCACACTTTAACTTATTTTGGGAATTTCGGCCAAACTAGATTTTAGTTTGGAAAATAGACTAGTGGTTGGACTTATTTTGGGAAATGGCCCATTTTTGTTACACATTTTAAATTTTTATTTTCGGATAATATCTGTACAATCATGTGATGAGTTTGGATATTGAGATTTGTTTGAGAAGTGAGTTAACTTTTTAATTTTTTTGGTTATTTTAGTTTGAGGATAAAAAGTTTTATTTGGGTGAATTTTTTTAATTTTTGTGACAGAAAAAATAAAATGATTATGATTTAAATGTGACATTTTGTTTTATTAACTTTTTAACATATTTTGTCATTTTGTGACTATTTTAATCCCGTACCAAACGAGCATTGAATTATAAAAATCATGATTGGATAAGGACTTGGACTATGGGGTACATCACAGATTTTGTTTTGATAATCTAAATTGTTCAATGTGTACAACTCGTCAAATATTTCATTTTTACAAAAAATCATATTGATTGGATATCGATAATTACTTGATCAAATTAGATTTCTATCAATAATTTATTTTAAAAATGATATTTATCGTTGACAGAAATATGATTTGATCAAGTAATTATCAATATCCGACTAGCGTAATTTTTTCAGAAATAAAATATTCAGCAAATTCTACATATTAAAGATTCAAATAATCGAAATAGAACCAATTATAAACTCTCACAAACTTAATAATATGCTTCAATCCGATCTTAAACTAAAAAGAAACCTAACTCAACCTCTCGATCAAATCTAAGCGATTACACCAACTTTTTAATTGTTAAATTAAAAATTAATGATTTATCTACCAAATTTATTTATCGAACTAAATGAATTTGGAAATGAAAAATGACTTAGACCCAGTGGAGGTGACCCCACCACCCCTACTGATTTTTGATTGGTT